CCACGCCCATGCCTCTGCGCAGACCTGGCAGCCCTGTTATTTACAGTGACCTGCAGCGTACTTGTTCACAGGGTGGGATGTGTGAGGATCTTCATGTTTGTTTGATCCAAAAAAACTGGCAACGATGACCGTTGAGTCAACATCATGCATAAAGTCACTTGTGGCAGGGCCGGGACCCTACAGACCAGGGAGCAGGTGGTGTTCACTGAACGGAGCATGTGCAATACCGTCTATGAAGATGCTGAAGCGGGCATATCCCTCAGGAGCAGAGAAGAGGAAGATAAAAAGGTGGAAGAGGCAAACAAACAAGCTCAAGGTAAACTCAAGAGAAGCAACGTTTGTCACTTACCAGAATGTGCAATATGTGTTTATGAAAGTTACTGACCAGTTTGTTGTGCTGTTGTTTGACTAAATGCACTCACACAGTATAGAGTTTCAAATGATTATGGTGAAACCTATCTTTCAGCAAAGTTGGTACATCTTTCATTTTCAGTATAATTCACAGAAAGATTTAATAGCAGCGTTGGTCAGGAAGCACAACATATCTGTGGATTATATGTCTAATAATAAAGGGTCAAAAACTACCTGCCCCATACTGTGAAGGTCAGAATATGAACAGAAAGGGTTAAAAAAAATCACACTAAACTAAAGCTGTATTGGATAATACTATTAGTTACCCCTACATACATTTTCTTTTAGAATTTTTTCCTGTTTACAGTAATTGTTATTGAAATTAATATATATAAGTAATTAATATATCACTTATATCACAGAAGGAGCAGTACTCAAATATTTTGGTGGTGGTGGAACCAGAGAGGATGAAAGCTCTGGTCGGTGAAAATGTTTAAAATTACTGTGTTGTCTTCTTGTTCATGTATGTTACCTGGTATAATTGCTATGTTTGATCTACTCTGCATGTTATTCATGTTGTATTTGTATTTTCACACAGCAGCTGGAGATGACAACACTCCTGGTTCATCCACAGAGGACACCTCAACACATGCTCCTGGTACATAAACTATATTTCCAACAGGTAATAAATAATGTCTTTTTTACAACAATCTGAACTCATTTATGATTTTTAGATATAATGATTCAGACTGGTTTCACTCATATCTCTCTGGCCGTACTCAGTTCATCCAGTTGAAATCTTACACATCCCATCCATCCCCCCTCTCCTCCGGTGTTCCCCAGGGCTCTGTCCTTGGCCCGATCCTATTTATTATTTACCTCCTCCCACTTGGACTGATATTCCGTAAACATAATATCCATTTCCACTGTTACGCGGACGACACCCAGCTCTACATTTCCTCCAAACCCACTTCCACCTGCCTGCCATCCTGCCTCTGTGCCTGCCTGCAGGAAATCAAAGCCTGGTTCTCCTCAAATTTCCTCAAACTCAATAGTGATCCCAGCATCCAACATCCCAGTTTCACCCTCACCACAGACAACTCCTCGGTTTCCCCTTCCCCTCAGGTTAAGAGTCTGGGTGTCGTCCTCGACAGCACCCTATCATTCCACAACCACATCAACAACACCATCCGGTCCGCCTACTTCCACCCCCGCAACATCAACCGCCTCCGCCCTTCACTCGCTCCCAACAGCGCCGCAATCCTGGTTCACTCTCTGGTCACTTCCCGCCTGGATTACTGCAGTTCCCTTCTCTCTGGTCTCCCACACAAACTCCTCCATAAACTTCAACTGGTCCAGAACGCTGCTGCCCGTATCATCACCAGAACACCATCCATCAGTCACATCACCCTCGTTCTACATCAGCTCCACTGGCTTCCCATCAAACACCGTATTAACTATAAAATCCTCCTCCATACATTTAAGGCCATCCATAACCTCGCTCCCTCATACCTCTCTGCCCTCCTACACATCAATACCCCCACCAGGGCTCTCAGGTCTGCCTCCTCCATCAACCTGTCTGTCCACCATGAGTTCCAGAGCCTTCAGCCGCTCTGCCCCTCGTCTCTGGAACTCCCTTCCCCCTGACATCAGGAACATTGACTTTATTTTGAGTCCCACCTCAAAACCTACCTGTTTAGGCAGGCAGGAGTGTAAATGTTTCCTCTGTCTTTCAATGTTCTGCTGCAAACTGCACTGTTTTTCTGTTGTATTTTAGATGTATTTTAATTATATTACCTGTATTTATTGATTGTTGTACGGCGACCTTGAGTGCCATCAAAGGCGCCATATAAATAAAATGTATTATTATTATTATTATTATTAATATTATTAATATACTGATATAAAGTAATAGACTCCAAAATTAAAAAAACAGGTCCATCATCACCCCACACTGAAGCTGACTCATCTTTAGCTCCCGGGGCTGGTTCCAGTGACACATTTGGTAAGGTTCATGATTGCTGCCAGATCAGGCATGAACTTGAAGCCACCGTCTCCTGGAAGTCTCACACGTTCACTGGCGTTTATTGAGGAAGTTTGCTGTTCATTCCAACATGAATTATCTTGTGCAATACTTTGAATTCCTGCTGACGGTGCCCCTGGCAGGTTTTTCTGGCGGTGAGTTGTTTCTGTGAAAAGATTCAGGTGTGCGTGTGTGTGTGAGCTGCTCTGAATGAAGCTTTAAGATTGTGTTAATGCAACAGTTGGACACAACATAATTCCGGTGTGAGCCAAACGTTAATGATAAATGTTACTGTTTTTTTTCCTGCCACGCCCATCATCATCATCATCATCATCATCCTACACTGAAGCTGACTCATCTTCAGCCCCTGGGGCTGGTTTCAGTGATACATTTGGTAAGGTTTACGATTGCTGCCAAATTCTTGGAAAATTAACTTGTGTACACAAAAGTTACTAAAACTGATTTTACTCCTCAGATCCAGTTGAAACTGCTGATCAAAGCCACCCAGCATCTGTGTAGCAGTAAACTACAGTCCATCATGTTAATAGAGGTAAAACTTTAATGCATAAGGTTTATAATTGCATACAGTGTCTGGTTTTGTGTATCTTTAACTGTCTATTTTAAGATAAATGTGTTTAAACGAATCATTCACAGCAGAGATGGAGCGCTAAGTGTCCCCTTCCCCCACCCTGTTCACATGATAACCACATAACTGCTGTCATCCTGTCACCTTCAGCTGGGGGATTTTTTTTTTTTTTTAAATATGATCCAGAAATATATTCTCCCTAAAAGTCACGTGACTCTGACAATACTGACACATGTGTTCAAAACTGTCCAACAACATTAGGGAGTGTTAAAGGGATCACAGTAACTGAGACCTCCTCAGTCTGCTGAGGGTTAATGTAAGGGAGGACTCTTACCTTGCCTCTGACTTTGATACACACCCATTTCCTCGTTTCTGATCGCCTTCCATCTCTCCCCGTGTCCTGCGAGGGCAGAGCTAAGATGGAAGGACGAAAACCAAGTGAGGCGAACGCTGATGTGAGATCAGGCATGAACTTGAAGCCACCGTCTCCTGGAAGTCTCACACGTTCACCGGCGTTCATTGAGGAAGTTTGCTGTTCATTCCAACATGAATTATCTTGTGCGATACTTTGGATTCCTGCTGACGGTGCCCCTGGCAGGTTTTTCTGGCGGTGAGTTGTTTCTGTGAAAAGATTCAGGTGTGTGTGTGTGTGTGTGTGTGAGCTGCTCTGAATGAAGCTTTAAGATTGTGTTACTGTCGCAACGCAACATTTGGACATAACATAGTTCCAAAGTCCATTATTAGACTCCATTGGCTTCAGTCAAGGTGTACATGAACCCACTCACTGTTAAACAGCTGCTTTTTGTCTTGGAAAGCCGTGAAATGTTCCTCAATGCATGAACAGTGCGGTCACATGATCTGGCTGCCTCCTAACTTTAACACACAGCTGGCTGTGTGCTGTCACATATTTAGGTGTCCGCCATAATGTAGATGTGGTGCTGGTGGTGCGCCATGATAATTATCCTTCGCTTCTTTATTTTCTTTAGAAACTTGCTCTCTTCCTGTTTCCAACATTGCGTCACAACAAGTGAACTTCAAACCGCGACTAAGTGTCAGTGCGTTACTGGGAAACAGCTGTTGGCACTGAGCACGGTTACATGCACACAATAATCAGATAACTGGGAATAGTCAGGTAATGGTAATAATCCGATTTGATGCGTTTACGTGCACTTCAATAATCTGATAATCAGAAAAACCTGGTTTACATGATTCAGTCCTTCAGTTGGATTTCTCCCCAAGTACATGACTTAAAACTCAAACTTCCTGTTACAGTAGGTACTCATATCCTTGAAAAACCTCAAAAAGTACGCAAGTCATATATTTGCAGAATAAAGCACTCATCATGCTGACAGCTTATATTCTTACAGTACTGTTTGTTTTTATCATTAACAAATACATGTGAGATCATTCTAATGTGTAGTTTATCAATGTGGAGCCAACTGTACATACTTTGAGTAGATTCGGAGTAAAAGTACTGTAAAGTGCAATATACAAGCGTATTGTATATAAACTTGTCAAACAAAGTGCATAACATGTAAGTAAGATAAAATAAAAGTGACAATTTAAACACTGAGAATATAAAAATATATTATTTTATGTAAAATCTTTATCTGAAAGGAAACAAAAGCTGTCAGATTAACGTAGTGGAGTAGAAAGTACAACATTTCCCTCTAAAATGGAGTGGAGTGGGAGTGTAAAATAGCAAAACCCAAAAGAAACCAGATTAAAGGGTATACATGCACCAAATAATTTGACTATTGGGGAAAAAGCTAGATGTGTTTATCTGATTTCTCATAATCAGATAATGGCTTTTATCTGATAAAGCCTATCAGATTATGCTGTTTACATGACCACTTGAATAATCAGGTAACTCCAGAAATCAGATAATGATCGGTTTATTAGTGTGCATGTAAACGTGCTCACTGTGACAGCCAGACGCATTGGCTGAGAGTCGCCGGTTAGTAAATCCCAAACACCTGCTTTAACCTTCTAGCACCTGTGTCAGAGAGACCAGACGCATACAGCTGTGTGAGACTCACGACTAAAACTGTGTGAATGCACTAAGACACAGATGTGCAGACGCATCCTCTCCGTCAGGTTCTGCCATCCATTAGACCGGTCAATGAGAAATACGGTAAAAAGAGAGCAATTTCACCGACTGTGTCGCATCGGCGAGGTTCACGTGCCAGAGCAGCTGTCATTACGCACGGCTGTGGGTGTAAACATTCAGGTCTCCAGCTCAGAAGTTTTTTTTTCTTTTTTCTATACATTTCAATACAACAACAAATAAAACATGTGATCGTATAGTGGAAACATATTATCTATACAGCACTTGTATGAGAGCTATTTTCTTTCACATTTAAACAAAAGCTTAAACAATCACAATAAAGATTTGATTCATAAACAAATAAAACATAAGTCAGAAAGCTATAATAATTAGGTTTTTATACAGCAACGATATATAAAACCAACATTAATGGAGCCCACCTGGTGTAAAGATAACACCAACACAGAGATGTCATCAAAAGTGCAACTGCAAGCATTCAGGTCTGGGTAACACAGAATATAAAAGTTAGTGTCTAAAATAATTACTTGAAATCATCACAGCAGGGGACGAGCTAGCTAGCTAGCCTATATTAGCTGGACATGCCACTAGAAACACTCCCTCATAAAGTTACTATTTATACACAGAAACGTCTGTAACTTTCATGCTAGAAGTGCTTACAGTCAAAATGCATGTCACTGATAGCTTCAACAACAACCAAAAAGCATTAAACATAAAAATACGGTTTGCAACGTGGCTCCCGTGGACTCATCTCCAGCTCAAGCCTGATTTATGGTCCTGCGTTGAATCAACGACGTTGCTACGTCGTTGCCGTGACACCGTTGTTGCCGTGACGCCACCGTGAACCCTTCGAACTTCTCTGTCACTCCGTTTCGTTGCGGTGCAGTTCACCACCAGAGCGGTAGGGGGCTGCGTTCCTTTCCTGAGTGGTTATCATCGTCTCTAGTTGATTCTTTGTTTAGCTTCCGGCTTTTCCGGTCACAGAGAAATGAACGCGGAACACGGACAGACGGCTCCGTCCGTATCCGTATCCATATTGAACGTTGAGCATAAATGGGCCTTAATACTGCAACATCTACATCGCAACAGAAGATGTTTAAAGATGGCGGAGATGGCGCAATCTGGAAATACGGAACCGGAAATGCGTTGCTACCAAGCAAACCAATCACAGCCCTCTCGGTCTGCGCTGGGTCTGCGTCGCCTTGACGTGTAGTTACATTTTTGGGTAGGTGCACTTCAGGCTACGCCGGGGGCTACGGCGAGCCTTCTGCATAGCCACGTATCCTACGATGTAGTGACGTCGTCGATTTAACGCAGGACCATGAATCAGGCTTCAGAAGTTTTTTTCTTTGCAGAGGGATGTACAGTGCGCCAAGAGGACCACTAAACCTGCAGTTGCACTATTAACCCACCAGGTGGCTCCAAAACTATACACAAACAGACCAACACATTGATTTTGCAGGAATTCATAATAAAGGTTATTTCTAACCCTGTTACACAATGTATTCAGACAGAGTGTTTGTGAAGTTGATAGTACGATTGCTTTATTGAAAGTACAGTAGTACCATTGCCAATAGTGGGATAGTTAGTGGAATAAAACTGTACATTAGTAGTTGAGGTAGCACGTTGAAAGGCAGATAGTTAAAGTGTTTATATGGTGTATTGACTTTAAAATGGGGCGCACTGGCAGTTCACATGGGAAAGGTACAGCTAGCCCTTGTTGCAGCGTTGGGGGTTGGCATTTGGCCTTCTACCAAGTTTAGTTAAAATCCATATGGCGGATAGGCCTAGATAAGAAATGAGCTCTCTAGCGCCCCCATTTTGTTTGATGGGCTCAATAATGGAGGGGTCCCCTCAGATTATGTGTGGTCATATGCCTACAAAGTTGCGTGGTGATGGGTGAAACCCTTGAGATGTTATACACCTTTATGTGATGAGCCACGCCCTCCGCAATATTCATTGCCTTATAGAAGCTCAGTTTTAGTAAGTTTTCCAACTTTTGCCAAGAGGGAACTTTAGATATTGGTCCCTAGATTATGTTCACCCAGTTTCATGCAGATCGCTCAAACTTCCTAGGAAGAGATCCATTTGAAGTGTTTTTCAAAAAATTCAAAATGGCGGAAAATCTATATAAGCGGAAGTTATGGGTTCTTGAGGCAAATGTGTTCCTCATGAGGAGAGGCATCTCTGTGCAAAGTTTCATGTCTCTACGACATACGGGGCATGAGATATGCCCATTCAAAGTTTGACATTTCAATGGGTTGCTATAGCGCCCCCCTTTGGCCAATTGATGTAATATTGCTTCATTGGCATCCTCCCATGACCCTCTACCACTGTGCCAAATTTCACATGGATTGACCAAGTCAGTGAGGAGAAAAACGTGGAACAGACACACACACACAGAGTGTTCGTCATTGTATAGTAAGATATAGTAAGATAAGATATCTCCTCCCCCCTGTGCTGATGTGGGGATAGGTGAAGATCTTTAGTTCAGAAAACGCTCCCAGAGTTTCAGTGGAAAACAGTGCTGTAGCCAGATCCAGTAAAATTGAAGTGAACAGTGACCAGTTTCAAAATGTAAAAAAGAACACAAAATACCAAGTTTTTAGCCTAAATGTCAACTGTAGCTTCTCAGACCAGAGCTGTGAGCACATGCCTGAAGCACATACACAAGTGACCGCCCAAAACACAAGGTCGGTAATCCTCCAATGAAAAATGAAACTCAGCACTGAGGCTGTTTTTAGACAACAAACTTGTATATTGTTGTCTGTTCTTCACATATAACAACACACGTACCCACCTGTCTATACTAAAGAGTTAGAAAACTACTTTTAGTTTAACTTTTCTGCAGTATCAAATACGTGTCACTCGTTCCTCCACTTTGCATTTTAAACAACAGAGCGTGGTTCACACAGGTGATCTCTCTTCCCATCATAGACGGCCTCCAAGATGTCAGCTGTTGTTAGAAATGCTCAGCTGGTAAAATGAACTTTGTGTCCAGACAGATGTGAACATTTACACCTTGTGGCAGTGGAGCTGTTTCCATCTGAACTCCTCAGTCTGACACTGTCTCTTTGCTTTCTGCTCTCTCTTGTTCAGACACACAGGAGGTCACAGTGAAGCGTGGAGAAGATGTGACTCTTGTGTGTCGTGCTCCCAGAGAGGCTGCCATCGAACAGTTAGCGTGGAGCAGAGCTGAGCCGAAGTCACATAAATATGTCTTCTTCCTCCGTAATAACCGCCAATTCATAAACTCCCAGCTTCCATCTTATCGCGGTCGAGTGAAGCTGATGGATCCAGAGATGAAGGATGGAAACGCTTCTGTGATTCTGAGGAACATCACCATCAACGATACTGGAACATATGAGTGTCGAATTGGATGGAGCAGCACAGGACGTGAACTCATCAGCACCATCAAACTGAAGGTTCAAGACTCAGGTGAGTTTGTAGAGCTCAGACTCAGGTGAGTTTGTAGAGCTCAGACTCAGGCGAGTTTGTAGAGCTCAGACTCAGGTGAGTTTGTAGAGCTCAGACTCAGGTGAGTTTGTAGAGCTCAGACTCAGGTGAGTTTGTAGAGCTCAGACTCAGGTGAGTTTGTAGAGCTCAGACTCAGGCGAGTTTGTAGAGCTCAGACTCAGGTGAGTTTGTAGAGCTCAGACTCAGGCGAGTTTGTAGAGCTCAGACTCAGGTGAGTTTGTAGAGCTCAGACTCAGGCGAGTTTGTAGAGCTCAGACTCAGGTGAGTTTGTAGAGCTCAGACTCAGGCGAGTTTGTAGAGCTCAGACTCAGGTGAGTTTGTAGAGCTCAGACTCAGGTGAGTTTGTAGAGCTCAGACTCAGGCGAGTTTGTAGAGCTCAGAGTCAGGCGAGTTTGTAGAGTTCAGACTCAGGCGAGTTTGTAGAGTTCAGAGTCAGGTGAGTTTGTAGAGTTCGGACTCAGGTGAGTTTGTAGAGTTCGGACTCAGGTGAGTTTGTAGAGTTCGGACTCAGGTGAGTTTGTAGAGCTCAGACTCAGGTGAGTTTGTAGAGCTCGGACTCAGGTGAGTTTGTAGAGTTCAGAGTCAGGTGAGTTTGTAGAGTTCAGAGTCAGGTGAGTTTGTAGAGTTCAGACTCAGGTGAGTTTGTAGAGTTGTAGAAAAGAACCTGTCTGAGTGAAACATCACAGATTACATGTTCGTGTTTTATGAAGATGTTGATTATACTTTTCCTCTTACCTCGCACCTGTCTCTTCTCTGCAGATGGAGCAGCTGGGATCATGAAAGACAAAGATGGGATTAAGATTTATGCATCGGTTGGTCTGTTACTTGGTGTGCTTCTTGTTTGTGTTATTGTTGTTGTGATCCTTCGAAAATGCAAGCATACAAAAAAGATTTATAAGCTGTCAAGATAACCAGATCCTGATTGAGTCTCCAGGGAGACAAACAGATTTTTTTTCCAGGTTTTTTCATATGATCTCTGTTTTTTGTTGTTGGAGGCTTGTGTGTTGACCAGCTCTCAGGGACACCTTGTACTGTTTTAAAATGTATGTTTAAAGATCATCCAACATGTGTGGATGTGTGAGAGTAACCTAAATAGACATGAGACTGTAAAAGGATAGCCAGCAGGACACTCTGCTGCAGGAAGACAGCATAAAAAGAGCCAGTGACTACAAACAAAGCATCACAGGTGGATGAAGACCGTGGGGTTGATACCCTGTCCTCTTAGTAGTCCAGTCATCACCACCACTGTTGAACTGCTGTCACTCGTCTCACCAGTAGCCTTAGCAGCCCCTCTGGTATGAGAAAGTTTTCATGAATTCTGTCCTGTCTGACCATGTGAGTCAGATTTCTCCACTGTGAACCTTATTTACACCAAGTACTGATCCAGGCTCACCTGCACAGCACCTACACAAGTGTATGAGAATGGCACTAACGCCATTCAAGCCAAGATTCAAACCACTGGCAGAGCAGTCACAGACCCCTGTCTGTCACTAGGAAATTAAAGCTGCAGTAGGTAGAAAGCCTGAGAACGGTTGATTTTTGAGTCTCATCTGAGTTAGGTTTCGTTAGTCTCCGCACTGAGCCCCTCCTACCAGACGAGCACGCGAGTATTTTATCCTACTTGGTTCTATTTCTCCCTCTCTGGGAGCCTCGGCTCTCCCTCACCACGCAGCAGCCTGATCCATCCCTCCCTCGCGGACCCACACATACCCCCGAGGCTCGGCTCTCGCTCTCCGTGGAGAGCCCTTGCTCCGCTCCCACGGCCGACCCTCGTGCCCTCCGGCCGGGCCCGGACCCACCTCACCCTTCCCCTCCCTCCGGGGCTCCGGGGAACTGAGTTCTGTCTTCCTTTTTTTGGGTTTAGCCGTGTAGGCAGCTGTAGCCAATGCTGGAATAGCTATTTTACCTGGTGCACTGTTCGCCATTGCCGCTTGCTCTCCCCTTCTGCCAGCGGCACAGGAACGCGCATATGCAGTAGAACAGCCAATAGGAACGCAGTTGTCTGAACTGACCTTTGATTGGTTGATGAACATCGGCATGATACTGATTCTTTAGAGGCTGAACACAGAGCCATGGTGAGGTGCAGAAACCTATTGTTTGTCTCAGACCACTTGATTTACATTATGCTTAGAGGATATTATAAAATTTTTACTCAGTTATACCAAAACAATGTTGCCTATTGGAGCTTTAAGTAGAATTTGAAAATGAAATAAATTAAAGACAAAATGTGCTGCTCAAAGCTCTGATTGCACTTCTCTATAAAAGGCACTTTGTATATTTATTTTCCAGAAGATTCTGTTGTGCTTTCTTTTACATGAAATGCGGGACGTAGGGACCAGTTTAATAATGTTGAAATGATACAGAAATGTGTATTGTTGATTTTATTTGATGAGAAAGAGTTGAGACATTATGATCTTTGGACTTGAAACTGTAGACGCCTGACTCTTTAACATGTTAATCCATATGAACACTCTGCTATACAGTTTTATACAATAAACAGTCTTTGTCTTGACTTTATGTCCTCCTTGAATGCGTCTTTCTGACCCGTGTTCAATTCCTCTTTTGTCAATGCAAACCAAGCCAGCCAACACGCGTTAATCCCTCATCATGATAATTCTGATACAAACTTTGAATATCTGGTTGTACAGTATATTAGTACATTACAGTTATAAACACAGTTAACTGGTTGGACATGTAATATGATTACTTCAGGTGCCTTCTGTTTGTTTGTGACCTGTTTCTGTGACCTGTGTCAATCTGTCCATATATTCATATACATTACATTGTCCTTTAGCATCCCAATGTAATTACCCCTGCCCCTGTTGTTAGGGACCCTGGTGATGCACTATTAACATTGAAATTGACCCTTGTCTGACCTGAGTCGTGAGACCAAGTCGGGCCGCGCAGGTTAAACTTTTCCACGGGCGTCATCGTGGAGGGAAAAGTAGGACTGATAACCTGGGGCTCCAATGGGAGGAGGGCCTTTGAAAACCTTGGAAAAAAGTTTTGGTTTTGTTTGCAAGTTTTTAATTCTCAGTAATTAGAGCCCAAACTTTATTAAACTTTATTAAATTAGACCTAAACATCTCTGCTGTCCCTGTTAAGTGTCTGCAGTCAGCCGTTATGTAGCAACAGCAGGAAGTCAAATCTGTCACACACAGATTAAATCATCTAAGTTAAACAATGTGTCTTAGGTAAATAGGTGAAGTGACACACTGAGACTTGAACAGCCCGCAGGTGAAAACAGCTGTGTTGGCTGTGTCCTCAGGGACCGGTGGAGACAGAGCTGCAGAGGTTTTTTTGTGTGTGTTCAGTGAAGCAGAAAGGGTTTGTCCTGCTCCTGCCAGACAGATAACACAGGCAGACCTGCCTGTTGAGAGAAGACACGATGTGTCCTCTCTGTCCTCAGAGACAGGTGGAGACGGAGCAACATTTATATGAAGACATCACAACAAAGTTCTTCACAAACATTAAATGTAAACTCCAAAGTTTCACCAAACACTCGCTGGCAAGCCCTGAGCAACACAGCTCCCTTGATCACGTGGACAGGCAAACCCCTCCACTACATTAAGGTGGCGATTCTTGTAGGAAATCCTTAGAGATAGGGTGAGGAGGGGGGCTGCAAATGAGATGCACATGGAGTAGCCTAGTCAGGTCTCTCAGAGCTCCAGGTGGAAAGATTTAATTCTTTACGAATTTCGCCGTCTAATACTAAAGCTGGTCATAGAAACTGGTGATATCATCACTGGTGACCACATAAAGAATTGTTTTGTGAGAGCTCTGTACCAACTTTACAAAGAGGAATTATGCCAGATACGTGTCAAACAAAGCATGCCAAACAGTCTGACTCGGCTGTCGGTCGCACAGGTGGGTGAAGGTATCTGAGAAGATTCTGGAATCAGTCAACAAACGAGTCGACCCTTTTGATCAATAAATGTAAACTGGTATGAATGCTCATCTGGCACTTACTGAAAGAATAGTTGCTGCAGAGGAACAAGGCTCTGACCATGAGTGGCGTATTCAGACGCCGGAGTGGTGTGTGACAGAAATTAACAAGTCAAACAAGAAGCTTTTAATGAAGATCGACAATCTGGAGGGGCATTCAAGGTGCAATAATTTCAAGATGAAGATGTCAGAATACCAGAGGGGGAAGAGAAAGGCAAACCTACAGAGTTTATCGCTGGATTAATCCCAAAGCTACTCGGAGTGAACAACTTGGTGCAGTTTGTGATGGTGGACTAGGCACATTGGATTGGATGCCAAAACCCACGAAGGTCCAAAGATCATGCAGTATCATAATTTCTTCCAGGAAAAAGAATTGATTTAATGGTTGAGTCGGCAGCAGCAGATGACGTTCAACGGGCACCAGATCCACATTTACCCTGACGGCACCGCAGAGGTGACCCAGGCCATCAGTCCAAAGTCTCTTAAACTACTGCTAGTGCTACTGCCAGCTGAATTTGCTAGTTGTTTAGCCCCTCCCACCTAGGAAAAATTGTAAGCAGCTAGCACTAGGAGCGACCATTGTCAGTTTAAGAGACATGAGACGTCCTTTCCACTGTAGCGTCACGTGAAGCGACGTCCATTCCTGATGACGGTGGCACAGCTGGATCTGCTGCATAATGGAGCCAGCATTTGGTGTACATCCCAAGTCCCATTATATCCGCTGATCAAAGCCGTAACCCTTCTTTGTAGTCACGTAGGCATGTGAATGACAGCGTTTCATTGCAAACAATGCATGTAACGGGTACACTTGTGCACTGTTTCTCCACCATCTCATTCAAATGAGCCAGGTGTAGGGGGCGGGTATTTATACATCATGACGTTCAGCTGAAAAAGACTTCCTGTTAGGAACCTCTCAACCATCCTAGCTCGTAGCTGCTTAAAGCTTGCTGCTAGTTCCTAGCGCTAGCTCCTCGCTGCACAAATAAGAGACTTGGGATGGCCTAGAAGATGGCGGACCTTGAATGACTTCCGGTTCAAGCGAGGAGCTAGCAGTAGCACTATAAAAATAAGAGACTTGGGACGCACTCAAGGCCAAGCTTCGTGTTCACTACAAAGAGGATAAAACTGATCCTGTCAATGTTGGCGATGGAGCACAAACTCTGAGGTGGTATTTAGACTTTGTGCACACAGGAGGAGGACAGACAGACTCCCCATCAACCTCTCACATGAAGAAACTTTGAGTTTGTGTCTTTGTATCTTTATCAGTCTGAAGCAGTGTTAATGTCAGCAACCTTTTTTCCATGACGAAAACAAGATTAGGATCTAAAAATAGATCTTAATAATAAAGGCAAAGACAAACTCTATTATTCCATTTTCGTTGACGAGATGTGATGAAAATGTTGGTGGTAGACTATTGGACGCTAAAATCCTAGAACAGTGGTTCTTGTAATTTCTGTAACACTTAAGTTAAACATCCAGTCTCTTTTACCGGCCTGGGGTGGCTACACATTTTGACAAATAAACACGTCTCAATTTAATCAAATAATTGCCAGGGATATTAATTGAAGTTTTACAGTATCTTCAGATGCCTGATGAGCGACAGGCTGGTAAACTCCAGTAAATAGTCTGCACCAGGATGTTTGGGTTGGTGCGAGTTGTGAGCTGTAATTCAGCAGTAAATAATCAGCCGTGTGTGTCTGACTGTGGATGGTGGAGCTGCTGAATGGATCTGTGGAGTTTGTTAGTTGCAGCGGTGGCTGTTAGCAGCTAGCTCCGCTCGCAGTCTTCACAGCTTCACCCCGCAGGACTCCACTCAGTCCGGACTGGAGAAGGTTTGTGGGTTGATGGTGTTTGACAGGCAGGTAGGAGACTCAGTTATCTGTGAGTGTAGCTGTGCTGTAAGTAAACAGTCTGAACTCAGATCAGTTTTCTCTGACAGAGATGATATTTTAGTTTGAATCACCAACTCTGTGAGAGGACACCAGTTTAAACCTCCAGACTAACATGTTGCACATGAAGAAAGAACTGCAGGGGTCAGTAAAGCTCTGCTAATAGCCAAGAAGTTCCCAAGGAATCTCTCCATCTCGTCGTAGTCATGGATGTGCAGGTAGTTGTTTACATCAATTGTGGACATGAGACGCTCTCAATGACGTCATCTCAAGGCGCCCTCTTCTTCTACGGGGCTTCTTTTGCATTTTTATTTTTATTTTTCACGAGAAGCAGCCAATCTCAGCATGCATTGGGGTGAGACTCACAGTCCACCTGGACAGGTCCCCTGTCTCTAACAGGACTGCCACTCACAGACACAGTGTGACAGATGACCCGAGACCTGTGACTCTGTAGAGTGGACAGCTGAGCTCACTGATGTTGAGGAAGTGAATCTGAATGATGGAGGAAACATCAGTGTAGGTGGTGATGAACACCAGCAGGTGGAGCTCAAACACTGAACCAGACTGCAGGTTGTGTCTCAGACTGAACACTGGACTCTGACATGTATCTGTGACCTCTGACCTCTGTCAGGGATCTGTACCACCTGCTAATGGCCCTCTGAAAATTGTCACTGTGAGATGGAGCTCAGGGGCCATTAAAGGCCATCAAGACTTTCCAGCTTGTGTTCCTGGACTGCTTCCCTGTTGCTGAACTCACCTGTCTTTAGCCCTTTTTAGATAGGAATTGTGCAAATTTCCAGGAAAGCCCAATCAGTCTTATTTCAGCATCGGCAGTATAAAAACAAAATTGGGGAGTGCAGCAAAATGCCGCCTACCTACTTTTGTTTATACAGAATGCACCTTTTTCGGGGCAATGGGGGGCGTGAGCAAGTAACAAAACGTGTAGCTCAGCGTGTGACGTAAACAGTGACATGGGAGGGAAGCCGCGCCTCATAAGTCGGCCCATTCTTCACCGTCCCCGTCATCTGATGGTTAATGGCCTCTTCGTTTGCGAGGACAAGGAGGGCACGCAATTCCTTGTCTCCCCAGTTGCTCATCTTTACAGTGTCTGTCAGGTTTGTGTTTCCCTCTTGCTACTAGCTGCTCGCTAATTCCTGCTATCAGCTGTTTCCTGTTTATCCACCGCCAGTGGGTTGCACGTGCGGCGTCATCAACAGCTCCTCCCACAAGTCTTCAACAGCCCGGCCCATTGCGGAAGGCCGCCTCGGTCTTTTTAAACTAAAAAGGTTCCACCAATATGTCTACCCTACGAGGCAGAAAATTGGACACCTCGGATCAACTCGCAGCTTGCCGGCAAAACGGCCGAACATTCACGGAAAATCTGGCAGTGTAAAAGTGACTTCTGACTCTCCTGTTTCGCCTGCTCCCCAGTAAACCACTCAGCCTTCTGTCCTTGACCAAGAGTTCTTGTGTGTGAACGACTCTCCTGCTCTCTGCTTCGGCGTGGCTTGCTGAAGGCCTCCGGAGGTCTCAAGCCAAGAAGGCGCCCTGTTCATCCTGTGTGCGCTGCAGGAGGTTTATTATAAACTGCCCTTCTTGTCTGTGGTGCTGCATCTGGGTTCTAACCACACCAGTGACAGGTGGAGGATCTGGACAGGCAGGTGTGTGTGTGTTAGGTGGGGGATAAATACTCATCACTAATGTAATGAAAGTTATTATGTACTGACATCAATAACAGACATTTTGCAGTTTGAATAATTTAATAACGTGAACAGATTATTTTGTTTTTATATCGATGAATTCTTGTAAACCTTTGTTTATTTCAATGTAAACAGGAAACCTGAAGATCGTCCCATCGCTTTGGTTCAAAGTGGTTTTGGAAAATCTATTTCATCATGGCAGGTAAGACCTCTTTTGTTTCATGTTTTATATCAGCTGATCGCACAGTGCAGGTGTTATAATGTGGAAGTCTTTAAAAAAAACTCAACAAAACTAGAATTACCGCCTCGTGGTTGTGTGTCTCTGTGAATCAGGCGGAACTACCAAAACAAACACACCAAACTTTATTGACAATATTCAGAGTGACACAGACGGATGTTTGAATCATCGCACTGATGGAACAGGAAACTCTGTCTCTCCTCTGTTCAGCTCAGAAGTGATGCACCGTGCTGACCGCCGCTATGTCATCATAGTCCTCAGCCAATCTCTGCTCAGCTTGGTTGGATGGTGCCGTTGCCATGGAGACAGGTAGGTAATTTCCTGTCAGAGGAGATAAACAATATTAAAAGAAGAGGCAGTGATAAATAACAACAATCAACATTAGATGATCGTCATAGAGATGTTGTGCAATACTGATTAACTAATTGATTGATTGACTGATTGATTGATTGATACCTGTGGGTCGTTGTCGATATAAAGACACCATGATGAAAGTGGAGATGAAGTACGGACAGAACACCACCAGGTAATAGAGCACTGTGAGCACAAGGTGGAGGTGGCCTGAGTCAGGAGGCGGGGCTGCAGAAGTGGGCGGGGTCAATGTAGGAGGTGGAGCTGTGGTTGTAGGTGTACCTGTAGAGAGAATCCCACCTGGTCAGGTGAATATCTGGATGAATGAACTCCTGAAATCAAAGGTAACCTCCTGACCTGTGACAGTGAGCCAGCTGGGTGGAGACTCTCCATGACCTGTGATGTCACACTTGTAGAGGCCTTCATCAGACCTGGTTACATGGCGGATGGTCATGTGACCTGCAGGCTCAGTCCTGATGAAGGAGCCATCTTTATAGAAAGCAGCTGGGAGGTTGGAGGACGTCTTTGTTTTACAGTGCAGAGTGACATCATGTCCCTCCATCACAGGGAGGACAGGACTCTGCAGGATCACTGATCCACCTCAACACAGAGACAAACTACAGCATTTCATCCATTTACACACAGCTTCATCAACACTGACTCCACAGTCTGATCTTACCAGTGACACTGATGTTGATGCTCTTACTGGTTGCTCCCTCTCTGGACTCACACCAGTAAACTCCACTGTCCAATGGGACCATGTAGCTGATGTTACAGGAAGAACCAGCAAGTGTTCCCCAGTCGTGACACGCCACTCTGGTTTCATCGCTTGTGTTCCTCCTCAGAGTCCATCCAGCAGAGCTGTCGTCCTCCTCACAGCTCAGAGAGACAGACGTCCAGCTGAAGAACTGAGAGCTGCTGGGACTCACAGTCAGAGAGTCTGCAGGGAGGAGGAGAGGATGTGGTGGTAAAAAAATCATTGAGTGAGTGAGTGTGTACAAGCAGGTGGATGTACACAAACGGTTCTCATTACCAGGTCATCAAATACAGACACCAGTGTGTGATGGTGATGCACAGGACACTCTTTAGTGTCTCAATGTGACACACAGCTGAAACACACTGTAACACGTTGCTGTGAGTCATGTCTTGGGTAAAAATAAGTTTGTTACCTCACATAAACAGTGGGGTATGTAAGTTACGTATGTTGTCACACAGGACACCAGCTGCAGTCTCCTGGCTGAAAGTCTAACATTGTCCAACATTGCAATGGAGTTCGCTGTCTCCACATTCTCTAAGTGGCCTGAACACTACCTAACCAGAAAGAGTCGGCCATGTTTCAGAGGTGACAGAAGAAGTTTACTGACCTTGGTTTGTTGTGCAGCTCAGCAGTGAGGTCAGACCTGAGGAGAAATGAAGCTGAGGTTGGTTTAAGGTTTACCATGCAGCAAGGTAAAGTAAGTGTTCGGCTCATTATCACTGAAACGTAGCTCAGACAGATGATACTTACAGAGCAGCTGCAGCAGATAGGTTTCCTCCATCCTGTTACTTGGTGAAGTGAGAGGTGTTGACGAGAAGTGTGATCACTTCATGGTCACATAGAACAAAAGCCCCCTCCTTCCTCTGTGAGCGTAGCTGGCAGTGTTGTGGTTTCCTCTCCACACACGCTTTCTTTGTTAAATTCAGTTTTAGAAAAAGACACTGAACCAAAACATGAAGAGAAAAGAGACAGAAACAAAATCAAAATAACAACAGATACCAGAATCTAATATCATTACCTGTATGATGCGTTCACTGACAGTCAGACAAACTCTGCAGGATGTGTTTGTGGTTTGGTGCTTTTTTAAACTGAGGTTAAACGGCTCTTTTGATCAGACTTTGATTTGAGTTTCACAGTAAGATGACTGATTGTTATCTTTAAACTTTCATAAATGGTGTTTCACTTCTGCAGAAACAGGCTGTGTGTTCCTGTAGGTGGGAGGAAGTGAACAATGTTGTAGCTGCATGTGTGAAAGCTTCTCTCTGTTTGAACCACTGAAATGTGGTCGGAAAGAGACACCGTATGACTGCGGAGCGCTGTGGTGTTTTCACTGGCTTCATCAAAGTGCGCAGCCAGAGACACATTAACAGCTACAGCTGTGCACAGGCATTTTGCAGGACAGGTGCTCAAGTGGACGCCTCGGATCAACTCGCCATTCCGCCTCTGTGTGTGTCTAAATGCTCGCAGCTTGCCAGCAAAATGGCCCAACATTCGCGGAAAACCTGGCAGTGTAAAAAGGGGCTGGTGTCTACAAGGGTGGGCTGATAGGTTCATAGGCTGACTAAGAAGGAGTAATGCCAGAGCAATGAAACTTAACATGGATTAAATTCCATCTTTCCTGACACTAGCTACATTGTTTCCCTCTAGTTAAACCCACATTTGACAGCTAATCGAGGACTTTGAAAATTAGTACTGGAGACATTTCTTGAACATGGACAAAATTTGGCTTCGTGGTGTCATCAAATATCTGCAGAAAAAGGAGTTAGCCCCCAAGAACATTCAGGCTGACATGGTTGCTACATTAGGGGACGATGCTCCAGCTTTATCAACTGTGCAGAAGTGGGCAGCTGAATTCAAGAGGGGTAGGGAGAGCCTTGAAGATGACCCAAGGTCCAGATGTCCTGCCACAGCCACTACCCAAGAAAACATTGCTAATGTTCACTACATGGTGAGCTAATGCTGTGCAGCTAATGCTGTAAGCATCTCCAGTGAAAGAGTAGAGAACATTCTGCACAATGAACTTGAAGGTTTCCACTCGTTGGGTGCCACGGCCTTTGACCCCTGATCAAAAGCACACCAGATTGGTCATGTTGCAGGAGAACTTGCCACGTTTGGAAGCAGATCCAGCTGGTTTTCTTGAACGTTTCCTAACCCAGGATGAGTGTTGGGACCACCACTTGGAGCCAGAGACAAAAAGGCAGACCATGCAGTGGAAACACCCCTCTTCACCCCCTTCAAAGAAGGCCAAGCTGGTGTCATCAACAGGGAAGGTGATGACTTCAGTTTTCTGGGATGCAAAGGGCATTGTGTTTATTGATTATTCACCTGGTCAGGTGAATATCTGGATGAATGAACTCCTGAAATCAAAGGTAACCTCCTGACCTGTGACAGTGAGCCAGCTGGGTGGAGACTCTCCATGACCTGAAATGGTATTAATTGAATTGTAACTCGGGAACTAAAAAGAACGTGACTGTCTGTGTTGTGGCTGCCAGCTATTTTATTTTATTTTTGTTTATTTTGTTGATGTTGTTTTAATTTAAGTGCTTTGTAAATTGATTTTTTGGGATAAAGGGGCAGGTTAAATAAGATTATTCTTCTTTCTGCTCCCTTTCATTCAGATTTGGGAATGTTGTGTTTATATTATATTGTTTTTATTCATTTTTTTTTCAATGAATGAAATAAAAATAAAAAAATAAAAAAATGTCACACTCGTGACACTTGCTTTACTGTGTCTGTCAGGATGTGAATGCAGCACTAAGAGTCACAGCAGCTACAAGTCAGAGAATCATCTGACACAAATACCACATTTCTCTTTGAACAGGAACTTGAAGGCAACACAGAGCAAACACACACAGAGTCGGCTCCTTTGAGTTAGTACATGTGGACGACTGATAGATAACTTTGACATGTCTGACACACTGCAGCTCAGTCCGCTAACCCTTTAACATACAGTTAGTCTTGGCTCACTTACAGACGAGCCGTTGAAGAGATGTTTGTCCCATGGTAGCTCTTGGTCACGTAACATCATCAAACATTTTGAATGTTTGTCTCAGAGCTGTTCAAACCACCATTTCCTCTGTGGAGGTGGGTGCAGCAGCCGTGTGGTTTCTCTCCTGCAGCTGGTCACTTGTGTTAGTTTCTAATGGCAGAGATGAACGTTGTTGATTGTGATGAAGGATATTTCCACCTGTGTGTATTAGTGAGACTGTAGTTGTCATTTCCCTGAAGTTACTGACTGGACTTGACACTTTGTGTCTGTATCTAAAAGGAGTTTATTGTTGTGAACACATGTGGAGCAGCTGTTGTTGAATCCAAACATCAACACAGTCATTTATGCTCTTGTTGTCCATATCTAATACCACAACAACAAGTGAGCTCACCAGACCTCTGTAGCTCCTTGTCTCTGCTCCAGGCTCCAGGCTACCACTGCATTGTGGGTAATGTAGGCACCAGGTTTTGACAAGAAAGGAGAACGTGTGTAATAAAAAAAGACCACATCTCTAATTCTGCTGCATCGATTTGATTTTTTTTAAACTGTCCATCGTGAGTCCGTCATCGTCACCGGTCACCGTCTCGTACGCTGCTGCCACTGCCAAGGACGAGAGCAGACTGCAGACTATCATTCACTCCACTGAGAAGCTGACTGGCTGCACTCTGCCCTCCCTCCAGGACCTGTACACCTCCAGGACCCTGAGACCCCTCCAACCCCGGACACAAACCCTCTGAAACACTCGTCTGTGGTAGGACGCTGCAGTCCATCAGGACCAACAGCTCACAGCATGAGAACAGTTTCTTCCTGTGTGCAGCTGGACTCATGAACAAGGCCTGGGACGACCTCTGACAGACTCTCATCCTGCCCCCACAGACACTACACCTGACTTTACTGCACATCTTTACTGCTCATCTTCTTATTTTCATCTTCATGCTCCAAAACAACAAGGCAGATTCCTTGTATGTTAAAACTTACTTAGCAACAGACCTGATTCTGATTGTTGATGAGTAGTTTGATTGCGTGCAGCTACACTCTGTATGTTAGTCTCTGTCTGACCACAGCTCAGTGGGTAAAACACACAGAAGCTGTCACACATGCAGATATAAATATGGTCCACTTCCTGTCAGCTAAACCGCTGCCACCTACAGGAAGATACAGCCTGTTTGTTTGAACATCATCATCAAGTCATTTTGTCATAAATCCAACAGATTAAAATAAACGTCTTTAATCTTTGTGATGAAACGAGCAGCTTCAACTTTCACCTCCTGCAATCACAACAATGAACACACACACACACACACACACACAGTGTTGGTGTTAGTGAGGTGTCACTGTTATTTACATTGATGTTTCAGTTGCTGCTTATTTTCAATCTCAAGTTTTATTTTTTCGTCTCTCTTCACTCCATGTTGAGACTCAGTGCCTCATTTTAAAACTTAATTTATCTGTTTTATTCTGGCTGAACAAAGAAATCTAACAGTGTGTAGAGATGAAACCACAACACTGCCCGCCACAGGCACAGAGGAAGGAGGGGGTTTTTACTTGATGTGACCATGAACTGATCACAGTTCCCATGAACACATAGATCTCATTTCACCAAGTAACAGGATGGAGGAAACCTCTCTGCTGCTGCTGCTCTGTAAGTATCATCTGTTTATGTTTCTAAAATCATCACACTGAAAGAAATAGAAGAAAAATTAGAAATCTTAGTTGTTGTTTTTTTATAGAAATGCCTTGTAACGTAAGGTTCAATTTTAGGTCAGACACTTTTTAATCTCTTCGTGCTGCCACTTGGAAACATCATCGGCAGGCACGGTGTAAACGTCCACAGTTATGCTGATGACACACCGCTATACATTGCCGTGTCTCCTGTTGACTTAAGGTCAAATTATGACATTTTTTTAACTGGATTTCAGATATCAAGGCAGAGAAGTTTCTACATGACAAAACTGAGATCTTAATTAGGCCTATTGGTCCTGAAGCTCGGAGACAGAAACTGCAAATATTGACACTAAAACCCTGCCAACAAGTAAAAACCTCGGAGTTATCTTTGATTCCAACCTTAGTTTTGAACCACATATTAGAAACATAACTGAAACTGTATTTCTTCACCTTAAGATCAATGCCAGAGTGCGAACATTTCCTTCTCCAGCCAACACAGGGACACCAATTCATACATTTATTACCTGCAGAATCTATTACTGTAATGGTCTACTTTCTGGTCTTCCTAAAAAAAAAATCCTCAAATACAATTACTACAAAAGTCAGCTGCACATGTGCTGACAAGGACCAGACACATCACACATTACACCCGTTTTTAAACCTGCATTGACTTCCTGTGTGCCTCAGAATTGAGTTTAAGATCCTTTTATTGTTTTTTTAAGGTCTGAACGGTCTTAGTCCGAGCTATCTTTCACATTTGTTCCATTGTATGAAGCACTTTGTGTTACAGTTTTGTTTGTATGAAAAGAGTTATATGAAATTCTTAACGTGTTTATTTGAAAGATTGTGAAAATGTTTTTCAGAAAATTCTGATATATATATATTTTTCGTTTAGAGACTGCTGTTGTTAATTTTCCTTTAAATAGATCAGTGTAATGTCCTGATGGGGTTCCTCCTCCTCTCTGTGTTCATCAGTACGTGATACAAAGATCTTTCTGTGTTGCTGCACTCAGGTGTTCGTCAGTTGTGTCGAAGG